GGACTGGGAGGCACACGGAACGCATACTCGCACATCTGCGGCTCACTCGCAAGTCACGGAATCGTAGTGGTAGCAGCAGACCACCGCGATGGCAGTTCGCCTCTCGCCATCCACCACACACCGGAAGACAAGCAGAAGACGAAGCGCGTCGACTACCGGTCCATTGCGCACAAGGCGAGCACAGAAGTATACGAGGCACGAGACGAGCAACTGAAGATACGGCTATGGGAGTTGGGCATGGTACACGATGCAGTCTTGAAAATCGACGAAGGACGTAAACTCAAGAACGTAGCGCAAGACCAACCCAAGGGAAAGAACCTCCTCAGCATGTTCTCCAACATCCTCAACATCCACGAGCCCGGCTCCATCAGCTACGCCGGCCACTCCTTCGGCGCATGCACAATGGTGCAATTCGTAAAATCCGTCTACCACCGCCCTTCCACCCCAACCCCAGGCTACAAACCGCTCTACACCCCCTCCTCAGACTCAACCCTAGTCCAACAAATCACCCCCCAAAACTCCGTCACCCTCCTCGACCTCTGGACCCTCCCCATCCAAAGCCCCGCTACAAGCTGGCTCCGCTCTAAACCCATGCCGTGCTACGACGCTCCCTCCGGCGGCAAGAACCTGCTAGCCATCGCCTCGGAAGGCTTCTACAACTGGTCTTCCAACTTCCGCGAAACGAAATCCATCTTATCTCCTCCTTCTCCCCAATCTTCGAAACACACAAACCAACCCGGCCCCCACATCTTCTACCCCATCGCCTCAGCGCACCTCTCCCAATCCGACTTCGGCGTCCTGTTCCCCTGGGTTACAACCAAAGTCTTCGGCGCGAAAGAACCTGAACGCGTTCTTAGGTTGAATACACGCGCGATATTGCAGATGCTGAGGGAGAATGGGGCGAGGGTTGCGAATACGAGTGCGGCGGATTTGGAATTGGAGGATGAGCCCGGCCCGGCGAAGGGCTGGAATTTGGTTAATGATACGAAGATTTTGAGTAGGACGAAGGATAGTGTTAGGGGTTGGGTTAATATCAGGGTGGATGGGGAGGAGAAGAGGGGAGAGGAGAAGGTTGTGAGTCCGCTGGAGAAGGTGGGGAGTGCTGGGAAGGGGCCCGGGGATGCTGTGGTTGAGGGGGAGGCGCTCGGGCAGGTTGTTGAGGGGAAGGCTTGAGGGGGTGATGTGATGTGTCCTTGATTAGGATTTTGAATGGGGGGATGGCGTTTGGCATAGCGTTTTTTGTTGTCGATTTAGAGTAGACATACCCGGGTATATAGAGATGAGTTTGTAAATGATGGCATGTTTCTCAAATGGTCTACTTCCTGACGGTATGCGTGATTCAAGATGGAACTTATCAACTCAGCATAGACTGTAACATAACACTATAATACATCGTAAGAGCATTTCACGTAGTGATTTGGTTGGCAGTCGTCGCCAGTCAAGCACGCATGGATCATTTCAACACACTGCGTCCGATGTTCCCGTGCTTGCTACGTGATATGCTGTATGTGACAATCATGGTTAAGCTCGTTCTGAAGGACAAGCATATTCGCCTTGAGCTCGGAAAGATAAGAACTGTATCAAACCGTGTCGGCATAACTGCCATTTCTAGGCTTGCGTCAAATGCGTTGTCCTGTTCCACTTGAGCCTTTCCCTGTGTAGGGGTAAGTATGTAAGGTTATCTGAACTACTGTGACTCACTCTTTATATCTGCATTGCATAGCCTCTGGACACACAATACTGTGACTCTAACATGCGTTAGTCGTACCTAGGTATGCAAGAATGACTGTTCTTCTATAATACATACTTGTCTGAGGCAAGATCATCGCTTTCATCCTTCGTATAGGCATGCTATAGGTATTAGTGACTGTACGTGCATTGTCTTGTGACTATTGCCCAATGTAAATTCAGAGAAATATCTACACCCATGTTGAATGAGATAGCGCGTCAGCCAATCAAGACGCGTCGATAATGAGAGACTAGCGCGGCATCCGCGACATCGAGCACCTGCGGTCAACCATCGAATACTATATAAACCTCACCTATTTCCTCCCATCCATCTTCAGCATCAATTCAACCTTCGATGCCAATTACGTAGTTTCAATTATCACGGTTGCAACTGTCTCACAGACATATCGCAGCTTCTAGTAGGGTCTAGAAGAAGACTCAGAATTACCTGCACGCGTGCTTCCACGAGGCCGCAGCGGATTAGCACCGGAGGTCTATTACACTCCACGTCATCTACCCGTCCCTTGATATCCATATTCACTGCTCCTCTCTTTTACCCCTCTCTTCTGTTGTTGCAGCCTAGAGGTAGCGCGGCACGTATATGGCAAACGCCAGCTGGCGCCTGACATTGTAAACAAACACACGACCACCCCACCTCGCAGAATATCAACTGCAACACCATGGCAGCGACCAAGAACCAAGTCCCCAAATCCTCAGCATGGCTGCTGGAGAAAGCCCAGAATGCTGCGAAGGCGTCTGGTACTGGACCAGAAGCCGTCGCGAGGATCCTACAAAAGACGAAGGAGCAGAAGGAAGCGAACAACGAGGAGCACCAGAAGAGGATGAGTCTTCTCAGCAAGAAAATGACGGAGCTAGGAGCAAAGCATCAAATGAACCCGTTCAAGAATGCGGAGCAACCTGTCGCGGCGGATACCATCGCCGTCACGCCCAAGGTCATCAAGCCAGCGCAGCAGGGTTTAAAGCGTAAGCTTCCAACATCTCCCGGTGCGAAGCCCGTCGATCCGCCCGCTAAGAAAGCGAAGGTTCAAGACAGTCTCCAGCCTCGAGTTCAAGACAAGTTCAAGGCGAAGGAAGCCGTCTCCCAGAAGCCAAAAGACGACACCTCTAATAAGGCAAAAGAGGATGTTACACAGCCGAGCAAGTCGAAGGTCCAAGTCCAGATTCAAAAGAAGCCGCAGTCGAACGCCGACACGCCTAAAAAGCTAAAAGTAAATACGAAGGAGCTGGGCAAGGCGCCGGCTAAGTCTGCGACTCCAACCCCGACCCAGAAGAAGCCACAGGAGAAGGAGACGAACGAGCAGATCGATGTTCAGAGCTTGTGGAAGATGAGGAAGCAGAGGGAACCTCTGAAAGGCGAGAAGAAGGACCCTCTTAAGGACGAGCCAAAGAGTGCGACGTTTGCAGAATCGTCGACTGCAGGCGCTTCACGGGAGCGGACGGCTGCTACAACTTCAAGGGCCGCAACGCCAGCAACCCCCGCAACGCCAACAAACGCATCAGACTCGGAGATCGTGCCGTCAAACGACCTCTTCGTCTCAGACGATCCAGACGACAAATACCCAATCGCAAAGTCCCTCCCAGTATGGTACACCTCCATCACCATCAAAGACCCGCGCATGGAAGCCATGACCAAAAAACGTCCCCTCGCCCTCGTAACCCTCCAGTCCCTCAAAGCCGCCCTAACCGACAGCGAGAAGCCCGGAAAAACCCCCTCAGAACTCGAAACCCTCTACGACAAAATCCGCGACCTAATCCACAAAGCCGAAATCGACCTACAAGTCAACACCGTCCTCCTCCGCAAAGCCATGACCCTAAGCCCGGACTACGGTCTGCCCCGCATCTTCAAACCAGGCACAAAGTTCCCATGGGATCTAAAGGCGGACGCGTATCAGTTGTACAAGAGATGGTATAAGAACGATTTGAATCAGGATATACTGAGGGGAATTGTGCCGCATAAAGGGGATAATAGGACGAGTGATCGTCTGGATGATACGTATCGTGCCAAGTTTCCTACGACGGCGAAGTATTATGGGGAGGGCGAGTTGGTGCTCGGGCAGTGGTGGCCTACGCAGCTTTGTACTGTGCGGGATGGGGCCCATGGGTCTGCCCAAGGCGGCATTTACGGGGAGCGCGATAAAGGCGCTTATTCCATCGTGCTCTCCGGTGGGAACCCGTACCACGATGTCGACAATGGCGATACGATTGAGTACTCTGGGACTGAAGGCCGCAACGCCACGCCCACGGAGAATACCGCTCATCTGATCAAATCCGCCGAGTCACTCAACCCCATTCGCGTCATTCGGTCTGCTCAGCTCAATAAGAAGAATCCGTACAGGCCTGAGTTGGGGCTGAGGTACGATGGGCTTTATGTAGTTAGGGGGTATACGCTTGTGGATAGGGAGAAGGCTATGTATCGGTTTAGGTTGGAGAGGTGTGAGGGGCAGGAGGGGATTCGCTGGCAGGGGAAGGGGAAGAGGCCGACGGAGTATGAGTGTAGGGAGTTTAGGCGGTTGAAGGATAAGGGTGTTGGTGTTGGTTGGTAGTTGGGGTCTGTGGATGGGTGGAGAAGGGATTTGGGGCTTGGTGGCATCGTGTCATGTTGTGACCTCTCCATGGCAGAAACTGGACTGTTTGGGAGCGTGTCTAACGGATCACTTGTCGGTGTGGCAGAAACAAAGATTGAGTGGATGTGTGGATGGATGGCATGGAGGTGGTGGTGGCGGCGGATATACCGTTGCCTTCTTTCCCTTTCTTTCCTTTGTCTCTCACTTCAGGCGTTCATCAGGATACCCGTTGTTCACTCTTCAAAAAGAGAGGAGAGCAAACTAGTTAGTCGACGACAGATACGTCTGTTGCACAACGACAGCACATGTAGTTTCCTTGGGGTGTATATAAAAATAGCAAGTGTTTCTGTATTAGCTGGAGAACGTTCAAGTGCGCGCACGTAGCAAAGCAACGCAAAAGCTGAAAACCGCTGTCTGGAGTATAGATCATACTCTAAGTAATGTAATTACGGAACTTGATATGTTGTATACCTTCAGCATACTGTATCAGCTCACCGAGAAACGAATTCATCCATGTATTGAACTCGCCATCACTCGCATACAGAACAAGAAACAAGTATCAGGGAAACATGCCGCATTGCATTGCACAGCCATATCCCATCACAGACTACATGTCCATCTCTCCAGACACACATATCCGTGTAACCCAACACCAAAATATCCGATACAGTACAAAACCCAACCACTCTACTCATCATCACTCTCCTCCTCATCATCCATCTCCAAATCCTCATCACTCAACCCATCAAGCTCAACCTCCTCCTCTTCCTCATCCTCCTCATCCTCCGCAAACTCCTCTCCACCCTTCTTATCATACTTCTCCCCCTCCTTCCTCTTCCTATCCTCCGTCTTCCTAGCCTCCTCGAGCAACTTCGCCTTCTGCTCCCTGCTCTTACGCTGACCCGCGACATACGCGCCGAGCGGACTCTTATCCCACTCCACATCCTTCAAGAACCCATCGACACCCGCACGGTTATTCGGCGCAAACTCAACCTTATTCCTCTTCTCCTCGACCCAACGGGAATTCGCCTCTAGTTTCTGAACCAAGAGAGCGATGAGCGAGGAGACTTTGGTGTTTTTGTTTCCGGAGCTCTTCTTCGTCATGGCTTTGACCCAGCGCTTTAGCATGACGATGACGGGGAGGGCGAGTTCAGGGAAGGCGATGTTTTTCGTCCAGAGGATGAAGAATTCGGAGAGGAGTTCGGCGACTTGCTCGCCGATGCCGTCTTGGTAGATGCGTGTGCGCAGGAAGGCTTTTGTTGCGCGGATGCTGATGCTGAAGTCGAGGGCTTTGAGGGTGCTGGGCTTGGGGGGCTTCTTCATCTCGGCTGAGTTGAGGACTTCGACCAGGGCGGGTGCCAGTGGGATGTAGGTGGAGGTTGCTTGGGCGATGCGGAGCAGCGAGCGGATGAGTTGGAAGCGTAGGGGGAAGTATTGCGATGTGGGGATTAGGCGCATGGCTCCGAGGGTGACTTGGACGACGGGGTAGATGAGGGGGCGGAGGGGTGAGGGTTTGCCGGACTCTGCTTCGCGGAGGGTCTCGCAGTGCATGGAGATGACTCTTGACCAGAAGTCGAGCGAGTGGACGTACTGCCAATTGTAGACGGTCTTGTAGGAGTCTTTTGTCTTGTTGGTGATGCTTGTGCGTAGGTGTATCGCGAGCTGGCGGATGAAGCCGAAGCCTGTGGTGTAGCCAACAGTGGGATCGATGCCCCAGAGCTCCGCCGCGGTGTTCTTCATCAGGTTGATACCCTGAATGGTGTGGATTGTGGTATTCCTCGCGCTCTTGACAAGGCCCTGGTATACCTGCTTCAAGACAGCCTCGCGGATGCTTGGGTCGGCAATGACTACTAGTCGTCGCAGAACCAAGAAAGCCGACACTCTTGTTCCGTCGTTGTTGGCACTATCCGACCAGACTGATGCGACAGAGCGCACGACCTCGCGCACGACCTTCTTGAAGGACAGAATGTATGGGAGCATGTGGGAGAGCGAGTCTAGCGTCATCTGGAGGGTCTTTGCATCGGACAGGTTCTCAAGGAGGTGATGAATCGAGACGGTATGCGACTTGAGGAGGGGAGTAAGTGTGCGGAACTTCTTCGAGTCGGTAGCAACGCGACTGAGATTGTTAGTGAATATCCTGAAGAAATAGGGTGGTTACTTACATCCTGCCTCCAGCGCTCTCCTTGACGGGCAAGTGATGTTGGAGAACCTTGGGTACTAGGTGAAGAGTGGTTACTTGAACCTGATGGTACACTACATGCTGTTAGTCTTTATCTCATGGTAGAAGTTGATCGGCATACCATCTGGGTCGGTTATGGAGTACTTGTATGATTTAGTAGCCTCCGAGTCGTTCATATGCGATGCAGCGCGGAAGGCCAGAACGACCTCCTTCATGGCGCGCAGAGAATGTTTCGACTCCATGGCAGCCTTCCATTTTTGGATCGTCTTCAAGCCAAGCTCATTGCCCGAGTCTTCCTCGTCGTCAAATGCGCTTTCTTGCGCTTTCTGGGCTTTCTGCTTCTTTCTTGGTGTGGCCTCGTCTTCACTGGCAGACAGAGCGTCAATCTCTGCAAGGTCGGCGTCTTCGGCAAAGTCCAAAAGCTCGGCATCGTTCTCCTTGAGGTACTTGTAGAACTCGGGGTCCTTCTCCGCCAGTCCTTCGAGCTGCGCCTTGTGTGTGTCTGCGTCGTCGCCAGAGTCGCTTTCGGAGCCGGACTCGTCGGTGCCGTCGGGCGCATCTTCCATATCCTCATCAGATCCTTCCGAAGCATCCTCCGCGACTGGTGTGCGTTTGCGCTTGCCGGTCTTGGCCTTGGTCTTCTTGCTCATCTCGGGAATCTGGAAACCGCCTTGGAAGAACTGGTCCATGGACATTTCGCCGAGATTGTCGTCCTTTGCGCCATTCGTCTTGGGCCTCTTGGCGGCCTCCTCCTCTAGGTCGTCGGCTTTGGCATTGTCGCGGGCCTTGCGCTCCTTCTTCTTGGTGTCCATCTGCTTCCTCTGCTTGACTTTGGCGACATCCTTGCGGCGCTTGATGACGTCGCCGAGCTTGTCCTTCTGGAACTTCTTGGTCGCCTTGGAGACGGGCATGTCGGCGGTATTTAGCGGTTCCTCGTAGGCGCGAGGGTGTTGTTGGCCGGGCGTGCAGCTGGCGGTTGAAAAACTTGGGCCTCGAAAAAGTTCCAGCGCTAAGGACCCTGCACTGGATCCCTAGCGCCTTCCCCACGCGATGAGCTGCGTCGCATCGATAACACAACTGGGCACCACTCAACCAAGCCCGCGACTCTATACCAAAGAATAACTCATCTCTCATAATTCATAATGTCCTACGGCAGGCAACTGGCCTACGCGCCGACGCCGTACATTCCGCGCTCTAATCTTTCCGCGACCATCAACCTTGATGAGGTATGACGCGCATCAGTCCCACTCCGCATGCGCATACTCACCGTCTACCCAGGAAGTCAAGCTCTCAACGACCAATGCCGAGCGCGACCTGAACGACTCGCTGGCCGAGATCTACAGCATCATCATCACGCTCGACGCCATAGAAAAGGCCTACCTCAAAGACTCCATCGCCGAAGCCGACTACACCGAGACATGCAACCGCTTGATGAAGCAGTACAAGTCCAATCTGGCCAATGAGACTGTCGCGCGGGCATTCGGTGACCTGGATCAGTTTGCAAAGGAATGGCACGTATGTCATAGCAAGTCTCGAGCTTCTCCAGTACTAGGCTGACACGACTCCAGATGGAATGTCCACGAGCTATCGAACGACTGCGCGTCGGCATACCCGCTACCATCGAACAGGGCCCATCACGGCCAGCTCAGTCAGGCGACTTTGCTGACGCCACGCTGGTCGTCAACGCGACCGAGACCTTCATCACCCTGCTCGACGCTATCAAGATCGGGCTGGTGGAGAAAGACACCCTACACCCTCTCCTTGTCGAGATCATCCAGGCTGTCAACAAGGTCACAGATGTCGAATTCGAGAACAAGGGCAAGATTGTGCAGTGGCTGATTACTCTGAACCAAATGCGGGCCGCCGAGAAACTGAGCGACGAGCAGTCGCGCGAGTTCCAATTCGACATGGACCAAGCATACTACGGCTTTAAGACGACCCTAAAGAAGGCTTGAGACGGGCGAATAGGCAGCGTTGGACTATCAGAATATCTGCTTGTGGTACCTGCATCTTAGCCCCGCGGTGGCTAGCTTGGGCCCACGCTGGACCTGGTGAGTACTGCACCCCACCGACCAACAATTTTCCCGCGCATTCGCCATAGTCGCTTCCAAATGGCCATGTTAGATGGTATACATCTGCGCCTTGCATCTGCGTGTCTTGGTGCTAAATTCATGTCTAGTCCTTGACCTACCGCAACTCTACACCAAGCCCTCCGCCGAGGCCCTCCTCGAAACCCTCGCGCTCCTTACCACCGCTCCGCCTTCGTGGGAATATACAACTACAAGGCACACAGACCGCGATGGGAATGCAGTGATAGAGGCGCGCGAGCCTGCAGTTCAGGTCAATCCAGAGGGCGTCACACGATACCTCACGACCATTATCAGTAGCGGGCTGCAATGGATAGAAGACGATGAAGTCAAGGAGCGCATATGGGATCAAGCCAGCGCGCGCCTCAGTGAGCGATCCGGTCGATCTGCCATGAGCACCATGTCGCGCACTTTCCAGATTCCCACCTCGTCCGACGCATTCGAGCTTAAGATCCACGAGCCTGCCATGACAGGCGACGATCTGGGCCTGAAGACCTGGGCTGCTTCCTATATGCTTGCGAAGCGCCTCAGAACCTTCCATCTCGTCTCCTCGGACACACAAAATCGGCTACAAGTCCTTGAGCTTGGATCGGGTACGGGCTTGGTTGGACTGGCAATGGCAGGCTTGGGCGCAGACGTTGTTCTGACAGATCTGCCCAGCATCTGCCCGAACCTGGCCTACAATGCGCAACAGAATCGGGAGGCCGTCAGTCTCAATGGCGGGACAGTCCGCACAGCTATGCTGGACTGGACAGACCCTACCTCCTGTGAACCGCTGCCAGACAACAACAGTACTGGCGATGACGCATCCATTCCCGCCAAATTCCCTTTGATTCTTGCTGCAGATTCGCTCTATTCTCCAGACCATCCGCGCATGTTGGTCGATACTATCGGCGTTTGGCTGGCCCCGGACGACAACGCTACAGTGATCATCGAGTTCCCATACAGGGACGCTTACTTGCCTGAAATCAAGGACTTTCGCCGCCGGATGTTAGAGCTCGGGCTACAGGTAGTGGAAGAAGGAGAAGAGAAAGGACGCGATGACTGGGGCCCGTCCGAGGCGAGCGAAGATCAAGACGATGATGCACTCGTGACTTGCTGGTGGTCATGTTGGAAAAGGCAAAATTCAAAGGCCAGCTGAGATATTCCAACCAAGATTGCCGCACATTACCCTCTCAAAAGACCCGGCGAGCTTACACTAAGGCGAAATGGCAAGGTGTCCCACGAACCGGAACATGCGCAATTCGGTTTGGTCATTCTCATAGCCGCGGCGCTGCATAGCGACCTCGGAGCAACGCCGAGATACCCACTCCAGCTTTCCAAGAACAGTGATGCAAGCGCCGGATAATTAATACGGATAATTTGGACAGCTTCCAGACTCCCGCGCTGCAATGGAGGGGCATTTCCTAACCCAGGCGGGATAGCTTGCCGCGAGGGCTTACTAGGATCCACCGTTTGTATCGTCATTAGCATTTCACCTGCGCGTGTAGTTTTGAGGGACGGGCTCTTACTTATTTATTTTCCCAAACAATTGTTTCTTTAACGATTGCGACCGTAACTTGAAATTCTCACAATATATCACGATGGCGACACAAACAGCAACCCAGAAGGTATAGCTTGACTGCCCCACCATGCCCCTCCAAACATGCGATGCCTTTACAACACCATGAATCTTCGCGCTTCAGCCATGTTTACAGCCAACTAACACACCCCCCAGAACCCCTCCTTCATCCTCAAAGCCAAAAACGAAGTCCTATACGAAGACCGGCCCATCCCCACCCTCCCCTCCCCCTACGACGTCCTCGTCCGCCCCCGATGGACCGGCATCTGCGGTTCAGACGTACACTACTGGGTCGAAGGCCGAATCGGGCATTTCGTCGTCGAGAAGCCGATGGTGCTCGGCCACGAATCCGCAGGCATCGTGCACGCCGTCGGCGACAAAGTCAAGAGCCTCAAAGTGGGCGATGAAGTCGCCATGGAACCCGGTGTCCCCTGCCGCCGCTGCGTCCGCTGCAAAGACGGGAAATACAATTTGTGTCCTGATATGGCGTTTGCGGCGACGCCGCCGTATGATGGTACGCTTGCGAGGTATTATACGCTGCCGGAGGATTATTGCTATAAGTTGCCTGGTAATATGAGTATGGAGGAGGGTGCGCTTATTGAACCGACGGCTGTTGCTGTGCACATTACGCGACAAGCGTCTATCAAGCCCGGCGACTCTGTTGTTGTGTTTGGGGCCGGGCCTGTCGGTCTGCTGTGCTGCGCTGTCGCGAAAGCGTACGGCGCGAAGAAGATTGTCACGGTTGATATCAACGACGAGCGGCTCAACTTTGCGCTCAAGTACGCGGCGAACGCGAGTTTCAAGTCTGCGCGAGTGAGTGCGCAGGAGAATGCTGAGAATCTGGTTAAAGAGTGTGGGCTTGGTATGGGCGCGGATGTTATTATTGATGCGAGTGGTGCGGAGCCGTGTATTCAGACTGCTATTCATGCGTTGAGGATGGGGGGGACTTATGTTCAGGTTCGTATTTCCCTTTCCCTTCCCCTTCCCCTTCCCCTCCTTACCTACCACATGCCCCCCTCCCCCATACTAATACTCGGAATAGGGCGGCATGGGCAAACCCGACATCAACTTCCCCATCATGGCCATGTGCACCAAGGAACTCAACGTCAAAGGCTCTTTCCGCTACGGCTCCGGCGACTACCAAACCGCCATCGATCTCGTTGCGGGCGGCAGGATCAGTGTCAAGGAGCTTATCACGGGCAAGGTCAAGTTTGATGAGGCGGAGAAGGCGTTTGCGGATGTTAAGGGAGGGAAGGGGATTAAGATTTTGATTGAGGGGCCGGAGGGGCAGTAAGGGTAATTCGATATGTTGATGCCCTTGTTTCTCTGTGGGACGATTGTAGTATGTAGTGCAGCGGTATGGGGGGTTTTTTGTGACCAGAATGGCGGCTACGGCTGTGCCATGGTGTTTTTGTAGAGGGTGGGCGGGTTGGTTGGATGGCTCTTTAAGAATATGATGTTATGATTTTACTTGAACTTACTGTTGCTCTCCTATTGTTTGTGTGGATGGTAATTCCTAGTATCGTATCCTCTCTTCTACCGTTTATTATAGGATATGTCAGTATATGTCGGCAATTTGAATGGAACATACAAACAAGAGACTGAACTACGTCACATCCAAGCTGAGCAGGAGACAGATAATGCACAGGTAGTATGAACAATCGTGTTCTCAATTTTGCTAAATACCGTCAAACAGACGAGCTCTCCCTCAAGAACGCCAATATCTAAATGCTGAAATGCACCCTCACACCGACCACACCCCTTCATCATCGTCATCGTCATCGTCATATACATCATAAAGCAACCTCCCACCAGTCAACTCCCCCGTCCACACCTAATCCAAACTCTGAATCTGCACCTTAATACACCCCGTCTTCGGATCCGCCGCCGTCTTAAACGCCTCAACCGCATCCTCCAGCTTATACCTATGCGTAACCAACTTGCTCAAATCAATGACACCGCTCTTATACAACCGAATAGCCTTGGGCCACGTATTGCAGTAGCGGTACTGGAACTGCAGATCCACCTCGCGGGTACTCAGTCTCATAAAAGGAATCTTCATCTCGTTCTTGCCGACGCCGATGACGAAGACTTTGCCGCCGAACTTTACGGTTTGGATGGCGGCGCAGATGGAGGATTCGACGCCGGTGCATTCCATGGCGTGGGAGGGCTCGACGCCGTCGGTCAGTTTGAGGATGGCGGATTGGAAATCTGTGGCTGAGTGGCTGAATTCGACTTTGTGGGTTAGGACGCCGGGGACGAGGGTTTTGGCGAAGTCTAGACGGCCTTGGTCGATGTCGGTGATTACGAGGGGTGTTGCGCCTGCGGCTTGACAGCAAAGGAGTGTGACGAGGCCGATGGGGCCAGCGCCGCAGACGATGGTGGGGTCACCCAGGCGGATGTTCGCGCGGTCCATGCCAGCAAGCGCAACGGAAAGAGGCTCCAACATAGCGCCGTCTTCGAAGGTCATGCTGTCGGGCAGCTTGTGGCACCACATGGCTGGGTGCTTGAGGTAGCGGCGGAGCAGGCCGGTGACTGGTGGTGTAGACAGGAATTGGACGCGCTCGCATCCGTTGTAGCGGCCTGTGAGGCAGGGCTCGCATTCGCCGCAGATGATGTTGGGTTCGATGGCTACGCGGTCGCCGGGCTTGAGGTGCGTGACGGATTCGTGGCAGGCCATTACTGTGCCGGCGGATTCGTGGCCGAGGACATGGGTGTCTTCTACGATCATAGGTCCGATACAGCCCTAGAATTGGAGTTAGCACTTGTTCGTTCTCTGTGTAGCTTTGGAAGCTTTCTGCTGCCGTCAAAACCCCAGGGGCATGGAAAACGTACAGCATGCCAGAAGTGGATATCACTCCCGCAAATTCCCGTGCTCTTGACATTGATAAGAACCTCGCCTGGCTTCAAATCTCCTCCTCTTTGCACAATCTCCAGACTGGGTTCCGCCTCCGCGACCCAAAGATCATGCGCGGGGTTGGTGTAAACACCGATATTAGCCTTTGACGAGAACTGAACATCCGTGCCGTTGCCATTAGCCTTGCTAACACCGTTCGACGCCGGCGCAGCAGCAGCAGCCTCAGTATGTGTGCCGTTCATCTTGGTCGTCTCTTCCTTGATGTTGAGTGATTGCTTAATCTCCGACGCCCAGCTAGTGAAGAGGGGAAGAGAAGCCATGGAACCAAACGCACGAAAAAGGAACGTTTAAAGGTATGCAGTCGCAAGGATGGGGATAATGCAAGAAAGGTCCGATAGAAAGGGTAGGTAAACAAAAAACTGGGGGGGACAACCGCGTCAATAAAGATCACCTGGCCACCTTTACTTACTCCCGCGGCCCTTCTTTTCTGCCTGTCTGCAAGCGTACGCCTTTACCGCTTGGTGCTTTGCCAGCATGTACCTAATCCATTACTATAACCCAGACTTTACCCTTCCGCTCCTTCGCAATTGGTGCGGGGCAACCACGCAAACCGCGCCCGTGAATAATACTTCCATTCATGAGAACGTCACGCCGCCCCGCCATAGCAAGTTGGAGGAAGAACCCCACATGGTCGCGCATCACCAGTCTCTCCACGAATGGGAGGGCAGACAAGTCCGCAAGAAGGGGGCAGGTACGCGCAAGTATCGGCTTCCCAGTCTGGCAGTTCCGCGATGCAGTTGGACCCCTTCTACGTTTCCGCCGCGAAGCTACGTGGTGGGGTTGGAGGTGGGTGGCTGCAGCTATACTGCTTCTGGTAGTGTAACCTACACCGAGCCTCCGAGACTAGTAGTACTGAGAAGTCGGATTTCACGATAGTTGGAGACGTGGTGTTGAGTGGAGAAGAAACATGCGTAAACCATGAATAGCGTTTGTGTAGCCTCGGCTCGTGGCCGATTCGGGATGGGGATGGAAGTGTTTGTTGGTGTGTTGGCTCGGCGCGTTCACCGATTGATGGGTTCTAGATGCGGCGGTTGGGTTGTCACGCAGGTACGGTGTACGAGGGAAGGATTTTGATGTCACGTTGGCGCAGACAGACAATGGTAGTTAGACTATTGCTGTTCGTTCGTTTTGCTAGGTGTCATGTCATTTATGGAAGGAAAACACATGTTGAGGAAACCGGGGCGGAAGTCGCGAACACCACCTGCAAACACCCTCGTCTTCTTCAATCCCGAAGACGTACATCATCGCAATCCACAGAACCATATCAGCCTATAGAACCGCCCACGCCGCATGCACATCAGACTTCCCGTCTATTTCCATCCCCGCGGTCTCCGGTCCGTCTTTGCTGCATGACTGCGCCGCAATATGTGGCGACTGGCGGCTTGACGACGCGCATCGCGCTGGCAGGTGCTATGTATATCCAGGTACACGCACAACAATAATTGCTGCATGAAGAAAGAGAAGCAGTGGCAGAGAAAAGTTCTTGAAGGAAGAAGGAAGAGTTGTCGCGCGCGCGTAGGAATTCGGGGTAAGACGGGCAGGCGGCCTTACACATACACACCTACACTCTCCTTCCCAATCCCATCGGCGAATGTATCGACCCATCATCGCACCACCTTCACTCTCTAACATCACAGCTTTGATCCTTTGTTATAGCTGCCAAGGGAGTCGGAGTGGAGAGGTGGGATTACTATGGTGGTGCTAAGAGGTCTTGTTTCACCATGCGCATGGTTCGGAAGCTCGTTGTACCGAAGCGAGGCTGCAAGGGACAGAGATGAGGCGAATAGAGGCGTGGTGCATGATTGTTAGAGGTGAGATTGAGATAGGTACTTGAGTGGAGTGAGGGTGGTTCGATGGTGGGTTGTGTTAGAGGTTGGACGTGCTTGGTAAAGGCTTGTCTTGCTTGGTGTGTTGGTTCGTGTGATCGAGTCTCTCTCGGAGGCACGAGTAAGTATCAACAACACATCAGATATCGAACATGTGCGTAAAAAGAACTGGAGGCATGATGGAGGTTTTCAAAAGGCTAGTTTCTTTCTTTCTTTCCTTTGCATAATCCGCATATTGTAGTAAGAACACATGAAAATGGAGTGTACCCTTGGGTTACTGCTCTGAAGGCTAATCGTAACAAATACACATCAACCTAATATACGCCTTGATATTCGACCTCGCATACAAAATACACATTCTTGAACAACAGCGTCGTCTAGAAATGCTCCTTCCAGAACTTGAAGTTGACCTCCTGGCATGCCGCCTGCTTACACGCCTTCTTGATGTCGCGCGCCGCAACGTTAGGACCGCAGAAGTAAACACCGACCTCTGTGCGTAGCGTGCTTTCCAGACCATTCATATAAGTCCGGTCCAGGATACCATCGCGCATACCGCAGAACAGGCGTTGGAAGTCGGGACGACCGAAGTTGGTGCGCGACTTGAGTTCTGTGAGGGGATCCTTGTCGGTGCCTACAGAGTTGAGAACAATGTTTTGCGCAGTGTTGACGTCCATCTTCTGGGTGAGGTAAGTGTGAATGCGCAGGAATTGGTCGCCATCTGCGCCGCCAAGGGACTGCGCTTCAAGCGATGAGAGGAGGGTCTGGAACCATTCGAAGGATGATGTGTCTTTGCAGACCCAGATGAATTCGACACGGCGAAGACGCTTGGGTGGGTTGGGGCTGAGACGGAGGTGGTAGATGGACTTGAGAATTGAGGCCCAGGGTGTGACACCAATACCGGTTCCGATGAGGACTGCGACTTCGTTCTCGAAAACATCCTCTGCGGGGGCTCCGTAGGGTCCGTCGATGCGGAGAGCGGGCATCTTTTGGCCATGCTGAAGTGCTATTTCGTACATGCCCATGGGGTCGAGCTCGTCGTAGAGCTTGGATTGCGATTGGCCAGCACCGAGAGCATCGGCAAGTGCGCGAGTGAAGTCACCAACCTGGCGCACGTGAACCGAGATGTAGGGGTCGTTGGGGCAGGAAGTGATGGTAAATGGATGCCACTGGTGGTAGCTGACATCCGGGCAGTTCAGGAAAAGCCATTGTCCGGGCTTGTACTTCATGCTGGGCTTGGTGAACTGAATCTCAACGGCATCTATTCGGCATTAGTGCAGTCCTTCAATAACAACGTTGATGATCTGCTTACCGTATGGGTGGCGAACAACCTTGACGATCTGGGTCTGGCGTCTGCAACGAATCTCACGGTAGAGGCGATCGAAGAGGTAAAGACCACCTCCCACAAGCTCCCATCGCCATCCTTCGTAACCAATGCAGTGGGTCCAAAAGTTGTCGTGGTCGAATGGAGAGAAAGCTGGAGCGGTATCACGGACGAAGCAGCTGGTTGCGTGTGTGTACATGCCGAGCAGGAACGGGATAAACAGGTGATGTGTGTACCAAAATGTCTCGAATGATTGTTGGCGAATCCTGTGGTGCGCCGTGGTGTAGATTAGAAGCATGCACAGCAACATGATGTGGCCTGTGATTCCACCAGCCTCGGCGTAATGGATTTGCAGCGCGATCTGGGGTCGGACCTGCACACGTTCGACGTTGAAGAAGCTATCTTTGTTAGTGAAATCAAGCTTGGTAAGAGGTATATCAACTCACTTGACGTAATGCGCCGCTACGTGGAGGATAGTGAAGAACAACATGGCGTAGGCGACTTGTCGATGGAACCATTGAGACTCATCAAGCGGCAGTACGCGCACCTTGGGACGGAGCCATCGGAGGATGTTTCTGCACATTGGCATGACGATGACCATGGTGTCCACTGACAGGACAAGACCTGCACCACGAGATACCCATACTGAGTACTGCAGAGCGTTGAGCGGTGCTAAACGTGCGTCACCAGCTTGTTTCCACCTGACTAAAGTTAGTGGTCGATCGATGATATGAGTAAGGGCTTCCTACCATCCTATACCGAAAAGGGCCCAATGGAATCCCCAGAAGAAGATGTGAAAGAAGAGTTTTTGTGGCGTAAAGAGCCTGGAAAACGATGTGCCGCCGCCGCCCATGATGAATGTTCTTCCGCGGTAATCGGTTGTGTCGTCAACAAGTCCACCTCAGGCGTGCCGTTCAACGGTGATTATAGAAAAGATTAAAGAGTATACGCGTGGTATAAGCGAACCCAACCAGGAAATAAACGATCCAGTCGAAGTTCGACCCGGCCAGCCAGATACGAAGTGAAGAAAAGAATGTGGGTGTCCCGGGACGAGCGGAGTGATGTAGAGAGAGAGCGCGCGGATGGGGAGGAGGATCCAAGGCTGCCGGGAACCAAGGGTATTAGAATGTCAAGCCTTGGGAACAAGCCGAGTCAACGTGCGCAGATCAGGTGCAGATAGGCAAAGCCGTAAAACCTGGGTAGAGCGGCACGCTGTGCTGAAACCGACAGGGCCTGTTCGGTACGGATGTGGCTCAAACCGATGCCCCACGAAGGTGCCGTATACCAGGAGCCGTTAAGATGGATGACAGAGGTTATGACTAGGGAGGGACGTGATGCAGAGGAAATCCGGTGGCGCCAAACCTGAATGGGCGCAAGGTCGGATTTTGAGGTATCGAAGTTGGGGGAGGGGTTTGCTGCTATGCGCGAGCGGCTAGTGTGTGAAGAGCGTCTCAGACTTGAAGCGCCAGGCACAGAACCATGTTTTCCTTGCAAATGCGGTCGTATGTTCGGAGCTCAAGACCTTCAGTTGCTCTTGGATAATGCGCAGTAGGAGTGCAGTGTATGCCGGCGAGTGGCGAGGCGATTGCCGTTTCGCTAGTGGGTTTGTTGGGGCTGGTGTTGGTGAGGCTGCGAGGCTTGCGAATCTTCACGATCTACAACTGTCAAACTTCAGACGTGAGTGCGATCTGACAGATGGGCCTGAGCCGCGTGGTAGGGTTTCGGACGGTATTTCCTGAGGGGTGCGATTGACCGTTGGCAGATGGGCTCCGATTCTTTTGATGGGGTTCACGACGGATAGGCGAGGCGCGCTGAAACGATGCACGTTGGAAGGCGGGTCGTAAAGGGATAGGAAAATCAGGACGGGTATCTGAATGAATCGCTGAAAGTGGTATTCGCTACGTTATGTCGTTAGGTTAGATGCAGAGGCTGGTAACTTTGGGATTGATGACTGCAGTCGCGGAGGGGATAGCGTTGGCAGGTACGGAAGGTACGCATTGGGGTGGCGGATCTGGTTCTAAACTACCGCCCCTTGCGCAGAAGACTGCATCGAAGACGCGAAAGACACATGGTAGGAGCCTGCTGTGGCTTTTGCGTTAGAACCGCCGAGGCT